ACCCGCGCTGGCTGCCGGGTCACCACGGCCCCACGGGCGACACGATGCAACTGGGCGGCCTGACGGTGCGCGCCGGCACGCAGCGCCTGCCGTGGACACGCGCGCCCGACGAGCTGAACGGCTTCGACGTGAACGTGCCGCCCGGCGTGCATGCGGTGGAGGTGGAGTACCAGTGGCTGGGCCCCACCAAGGACTCGATGGCGCCCGCGCTGCTGTCGCGCGACGCGCTGGGGATGACCTGGCCGGCGCTGGTGCTGTACCCGGCGGGCCGGCCGGTGGCCGAGATCGAGGTCAACACCTATGTGAAGCTGCCCGCCGACTGGCGCTGGGGCAGTGCGCTGCGCGCCGGCAGCGCGGGGACCGACGGCTGGATCGCGTTCCAGACCGAGACGCTGGAGACGCTGTTCGATTCGCCGCTCTACGCCGGCATCAACTACCGCCGCGTCGACCTCGACCCGCCGGGCGCGGCGCAGCCGGCGGCGCTGCACATCTTCCGCGCCCGCGACTCGACGCATCCGCCCAGCGATGCGCAGATCGACGCGCACCGCAAGCTGCTGCAGCAGGCCGAGGCGCTGTTCGGCTTCCGCCCGTGGCGGCACTACGACCTGCTGATTGCCGACGGCAAGGGCTTCGGCCACCACTTCGCGCTGGAGCATCACGAGTCCAGCGAGAACCCCTACGGCGGCGACTACTTCGACGACTGGGCCACCGCCAGCCGCGGGCGGGACGACGTGGCCCACGAATGGGTGCACTCGTGGAACGGCAAGTACCGCCGCCCGCACGGCCTGGCGCAGCCCGAGCTGAACACGCAGACGCGCAACGAACTGCTGTGGGTCTACGAGGGCCTGACGCAGTACTGGGGCGAGGTGCTGGCCGTGCGCGCCGGCCTCGTCACGCCCGAACAGATGCGCCAGCAGATGGCCTACGCCGGCGCCCGCACGGCCAACCTGCCCGGCCGCCAGTGGCGCGACCTGCAGGACACGACGAACACGCCGGCACTGAACTCGCTGGGCGGGCAGAAATGGTGGGACTGGACGCGCAGCTTCGACTACTACTCGGACTCGGCGCTGCTGATCTGGCTGGACGCCGACACGCTGATTCGCGAACGCAGCGGCGGGCAGCGCTCGCTGGACGACTTCGCGCGGCGCTTCATCACCGGCCAGTCCGGCAACAAGACGCCCAGCCTCTACGGCTTCGACGACGTGGTGGCGGCGCTGAACGCCGTCGAGCCGCTGGACTGGCGCGCCTTCCTGCGCGCGCGGCTCGACCACCGCGAAGCCCGCACGACGCTGGAAGGCCTGGCGCGCAGCGGCTGGGAGGTCGGCTTCGCCGAGCAGCGCACGCCGCTGCAGCTGGCATCGCTGAACCCCAAGAAGCCCATCTTCTCGATGCGCTACTCGGCCGGCATGAACCTCGACGCCGAGGGCAACGTCGTCTACGTCCTCTGGGGCACGCCCGCCTTCCAGGCCGGCCTGGCACCCGACGACAAGCTGGTCGCCGTGCAGGGCCGCGCCTTCACGCCCGAACGCGCCGAGGCTGCGCTGAAGGCCAACCGCAACGGCGCCCAGCCCCTGGCGCTGCTGATCCAGCGCGACGACGAGTTCCGCACCGTCACGCTGGACGTGCGCACCGGCCCGCGCT